GGGGGGGTGTACTCATAGTCGTGCATGCCGTAGTCGTTAGACCATTGACCTCGCATCCCTACAAAGCCGGGACGGAGCACGCCGGGTTCTCACCGGACCAGGCTCTCACATCACCAAGCGCGAAGCGCCGTGAGATATTCGGCGAGTCGCATGAAGGGTGCGCTGCATCCTGCTAAGGGTGTTCGGCATCTTGTGCTTACTTCCTTGCGTACGGATGACAGCTGCGTATGAATTAATTTATTTTCTGGTGCTTTCACTTCCAGAGACAGTTGTAAGCACTGTGTAACTGCCTCGAGGGTGCTTGACCATTTTAACACAACGTGGTGCGATCATCCCCCTTGCGCGGAGTGAGGGTTCTCGACCCCGCACAACATGATCTACTCGACCACCATTATGGTTACCGCCAACAAAAAAAACAGAGGTAAAAAAAAAAAAACGGTAACCTGGTTGCCGAGTTCACGACGTGAATTGGCTTGTTTTACAATGTCGTTGCCAAGCGACGAAAACCCAATCTCGATGGCAAACACCGATGGGGGGCCTTGTTTTACAACGTCGTTGCCAAGCGACGAAAACCCAACCCCAATGGCAAACACCGGGGGGGGCTGTTGGGGGGGTACAAACCAAACAGACAGGTGATGAACGGAAACATATTTCGACAAATAACGAACTCACGTCCGCAGCGACCTGGGGTGCAGAACTATATTGTCCTCACTGTATGTTCTACGTTCATACAACGTCGTCCTATGTTCGGTCCAACCTTACGACTCCGTGCAGCTGTGCTGCGGATCGTGGGTGCTTATGAGCTGTGTACCACAGCGTGTGTTTGCATATGCCTCACGAAGGGTGAGAGCCAGGGAGGAGGTGTAATAATGCAATATGAGCAGCCAAGACCCGAGCAGCAGAATAAAACAGCAGCAGCAGCACAGCGGCACAAACGTGGGGGGAGTCGATGGCAGTAGATAAAGAGAAAGAAGCCAACAAACAGGCGGCGGGTGTTGTTTTGGGTTGAAGAGAGGGCAAATGGGACCGACAGAAGCGATTTCGAGCCACAACGGAGTGCTACAGCCTACCCGCTTTACTCAGCGATTCACACTTTTTTGGCGTGCAGCAAGCGCAACCACGGAGTACAGCCGTGGGGTTTCGAACCTGCAGTCTGTACGGGTACCTGTGACCTGTGACCAAGCAAGGTGATCTTCGCTATTCTACCCGCTACTGCTGTGCTGGAATGAACGTTACCTTCTTTTAAAGAAAACGCAAGACTCTCAAAGTCGAACAGCCGCCTGGATGCAGAACGGAAAAGAACACCTGAACAGCCTCCACCGTGTACGACCTGCCAACACTGTTCTTGTGTGGATCTATATTTTCGGGGCTCGATTGAAGAGAATAGGAGCATGATGATGAAGTCCATCTGGTTAAATTTTGCCACAACGTGACGCCCATTTTGCTCGCGCATTTTTTGAGAGCTGAGAAGTGAAACAAGTTGGCAAAAACCGCACGACCAAGATGCATGGAAATCCGGTGTTGGAAAAAACATGTCGATGACAAAGGCCGATTTTCGGAAACATTACCCCGAAACGGCACTTTTTCTGGAGCGACATGGTCGTGGCCTTCGTCAATTCTTCGGGCTTGTCCCCCGCTCTCAGCACTCCGCAACAGCGGAAAAGCAACACATATTCTAAAACAGACAGAAAAATATACCTCCGGAATAAGCCAAATTCTTTCTCGTATCGATTTCCATGACAAGCGAAACTATTCTCTCCTATCCGCACTTTCCCCTATATCGATTCTCTTATATCGTAGCCGGCACGTAAACAAAAAGTCGGATAAGATAGTCGAGGGACCTCTGTAGTGCAGGGATGTGTCAGAGATTTTACCTGCACTATGACGGACACCTACACTATCCAGGATCGAGGAATACATAAGGTTCTAGTATACCAGCTCAAATCCGTGTCAGCATATTTCACCTGCTCTATGCCAGGCACCTGCACTATTCAACCTGCAATAAAGAGGTCCCTCGACCTGTACTGATTTCGGCTTGTCACGCCTTCTCCTACATCGTAGCCGGCATGGTACCCCTTTTGGGTAGTTGGCTTGTGACCACGGAAGGCGTCCGCGTCGGTTGTACCAGCGCGGGCATTAGCAGTTACCGAGCGAGACGGGACGGTTGTTAAATGTGGAGACAGCCAACCTTCCTCTACAGCAGTACAGTCGTCCCAGCTAAAAAGACACTATAGCACACATCACAATCAGGTGCCCCGCAGACAAAAAATATAGAGGGCGGTGCCGTTTTCATTACATGGGGGATCGTGGCAGGATTATAAATGTGGGGGCGAAGCCAAAACAAAAGATAACAAAGCCAACAAACAACAACAGCGCAATGTTGTAATAACAAAGTCAACAACGACAACAACAGCGCACTGATATTGAATACAAACCTGTCCGGCAGCACTATACCGACGTAGCCACTAAAATGAACGAACTTTAGTATGGGGGATCGAGCGTTACAACGATAAGGTTCAACAGCGAACGACGTGGAATAAAAAAGGACGCGCGACTTTCAAACGTCACGTTCTTCTATTCAAGTTAAAATGGTTCGTGCTAAATAGCATCCCTAATGAAATTGCGCGTCTTTTGACTCGCCTCCGTTGACCCCGGGGAAGGTGAGCTATTATTCCCCCCGGAATCCTAACCCCGTTGGGCCTAGGTTCCGTTTCGACGTCAATTTTGTTCTTTTGCACCGCAGTAAAAAATTGAGGCAGAAGTTGCAGAAGATACAAAAATGTACTTGTGTAGACGCAACACTTTTCTCCACCTTCGGCCATGCGGGCAGCCAGGGACAGGGTGATTGCCACAGAGCCATAGGGAGGTTGATGGGTGGTCACGCTGCGGCCGGCAGGGCAGGTAGCCTTGCAGACCTTGAAATGATCAGTCGCCTAGCTGCCTCAATTACTCTACTTTCAGTATATTCTAATGAGTGAAAATGACCAGTCAGACAGCTTGTAGGCCCAAAGCTGGTATTTGCTTCTCTGTACTTCTCTGCCCCCTCATGTGAGCCCTACCGGCTCAGCTCCTGTTTCCCCCCCACAAGCGCACCAGCACATCTGCACACCTACCTAGCGGCTTCCTAGGTTCGGGCGAGGGTTGTGTGGAGCCACGATATTTATTTAGTACATGTAGTCTATTTACTGGCACGATGACTGCTACTAAATAATCTATGTTAGACTCGGTTCGATGGATAGAGGTTGATTCGTTGTGTCATATTTGACAGATTCGGATTCAAATTTCTCCAGATAAAGCATACATGTCTTAAGCCATCGTTTGAGGATCGTTCCTGGCGTCTCGCCAGAACCCCAACAGGCAAGCTGTTTTCCAGATGAAGAGTGGAGAGGCTCGTTTGATGGAAAGTTGTTCATAATTTTTCGATGTAGCAAATTCCACACACACACACAATCTGCTCAAAACACATGTTCACCCCCGATCAAAGAGAATCTCAGCACCTAGCCTAGCCCAGCGAAAGAGGCCCTGGTGAGGGAGGTTTGCACGGCCAGGAAGTTGGGTTTGCGGCTTTAGGTGAGAACGAAGAGTGCCCTCCTGGTGAAGACGGGCTTGTCTTTCCCCGCGCAAGAGTTTTCTCTGTTTTCTACATGCTAGAAATAACGTTTGACTTGCCACCGTCCCCCCCCCCCCCCCCCCCCCCCCCCCCCCCCCCCCCCCCCCCCCCCCCCCCCCCCCCCCCCCCCCCCCCCCCCCCCCCCCCCCCCCCCCCC